TGCATCCCCCCCTCAGGCAACATGGCCGCCATGACGTCCCCCATGCAATATGGCCGTCGTTACGTCCCCCCCCCCCCCCCAGAAAACATGGCCGCCATGACGTCCCCCATGCAACATGGCCGTCGTTACATCTCCCCCTCAGGCAACATGGCCGCCATGACGTCACCCATGCAACATGGCCGTCGTTGCATCTCCCCCTCAGGCAACATGGCCGCCATGACGTCACCCATGTAATATGGCCGTCGTTACATCTCCCTCCCCCAGAAAACATGGCCGCCATGACGTCACCCATGCAACATGGCCGTCGGTCAACAGCTGGGGTATATTCACGTCATCAACGTTGACGATTTTCGTTATGAACGTTGCGAATTATGAATCTCATTAATTACGTCGTGTTATGAATGACTGTTTAGTTACAATTGACGTGCGAGTGGTCCTGACCGCTTCGAAGATCTCTGCTGGCCCTACGATGCGGAAACGTCGTGACATCCGTAACTTACGAACTTACGACAAATCTGCGGCGTGTCCTAAGACGTCCTTGCGCTCTGCATTCCGCGTCCTGTTGTACAAAATCCAACCTCGCGCCCTGTCCAGAGCCACCCACGTTCCCGCGAGGACCTTGACCGTGACCGCCCCTGCCCCCCGGGCCCCCAACGAGCATTATTCTTACAATATAAACAGGCACAACCGCGTACGCTACCTCGTCTAATCAATGACAACATCCGTCCGCTTTTTTCAAACACAGCTTTTTTTTTGTTTGTTTAGTTTTCGTAAGAAACAGAACCGCGGAACCTGAACAATAAAGAGTGTCCGGCCGGATTCCAGGCGGAAACGATTCCAAAGGGATCACAAAACAGCGGTGGTGCTGGGTGCAAGCAACACCAGCGAAAGCGGTGGGGTCCCAAGTAACTCAGGGGAGACCCCCTCTCCCCTGCCCCCTCCACACTCCCCATAAAAACAAGGACTCAAATATCGGGACAAAATTCTAATTCTAATAAACGTAACGAGATCAATTTGACACGGACGCGCCAATTCATCCGTCTCTCGCCTCCATCTCTGGTCTAACCTCACGCATTTCACGACCTCTCTGTGTCTCGCCTACGTCTCTTCAGTTATCTTGCTAGGAGAGAGAGGGGGGCGAGGGGGGGCTTGTTTCCCTGACTAGGGACCCCCTGCCTCACTGGGCCAGCACCACCGCTGCTTCCGATTGGAAGTTTCACGTCCAAAAGGGTGGAGGATGAGAGGACAGAAAGATAAGGAGGAGAGAAGAGGGAGAAGTGGAGAAAAAAGGTGGGACAGGAGGAGGGAGAGACAAGGAGGTGAAGGAGGAGGAGAGAGAACGACGGAGAAAGGAGCAGGGGACAGATCGGGAGGGAGAGTTTAAAAACTAGCACTGTAAAAACGGGGACATTGTGCGGAGGTCGGCAAGAACGACTCCGCTAGGGTCAACACGACGAATCTAAAACCGCGTCCGCGCCTCCGCTACCCCCGCCGCTTTGTCCACATCTGGGCGAGCAGTTGCGCAAAACAATAAGGGGGCGTGTATGGATGGATGTGTTGTCTGGCCCCGCCCTTTCCCTGGGTAACACCGCCCCCACTCCCACTTCACCTCCACCGCCAGGCCACCCCCTCCCACCCCCTCCCACCCACCCCCACCCCACCTCCTCCCCTCATCAGGATCGTAACGATCCAGTAGCCGCCAGTTGCCCAATATTAACCGGTGGCACGCTTTGTGAGTACACGACAAGACGACCCCAACGCCTTCCGCGTGTGCTTGTGACCTTAAAAAGGGTGGAACAACAGCCGTGCGTGATAGGCGACGTTTCGGGCAATGGCCCTTCTTCATAGCGCACGAACTGAGAGGCCAGAGGCCCCATTGCGCGAGTGTCACGTGGAAACTCGCTCGCTCAGATGTGGACCCAGCTGAACGCACGGATAGCATCGCATTTATCGAATCCTGTTATCAGGAATACTCACGTTCAACCTCATTTACTGAACCCTGTTCTCTGAATGCTCCCGATTAACAGCATTTACTTAAACCTGCTTTTAGGAATTCTCTCGTTTAACTGCATTTACTGAACCCTGTTATCTGGAATGCTCCCGTTTAACCACATTTACTGAACCCTCTTATATGGAATGCTCCTGTTAAACCACATGTACTGAACCCTGGTATCTGGAATGCTCCCGTTTAACCGCATTTACTGAACCCTCTTATATGGAATGCTCCCGTTTAACCACATTTACTGAATCCTGGTATCTGGAATGCTCCCATTTAACCGGATTTACTGAATTATTTTAGATGGAACTCCCGTTTAACAACATTTACTGAACCCTATTATCTGGAATGCTCCCGTTCAACCACGTTTACTGAATCATGTTATCTGGAATGCTCCTGTTTAACCGAAATAACTGAACCCTGATATCTGGAATGCTCCCGTTTAATCACATTTACTAAGCCCTGTTATATGGAATACTCCCGATTAACCGTTTTACTGAAACCTGTTGTCAGGAATACTCCCGTTTATCCACATTTACTGAACCCTGTTATAGAGAATGCTCCCGTTTATCCACATTTACTAAACCCTGTTAGACGGAACACTCCCAATTAACCGCGTTACTGAAACCTGTTACCAGGAATGCTCCCGTTTATTCACATTTACTGAACCCTGTTATAGAGAATGCTCCCGTTTATCCACATTTACTAAACCCTGTTAGACGGAACACTCCCAATTAACCGCGTTACTGAAACCTGTAACCAGGAATGCTCCCGTTTAACCACATTTACTGAACCCTGTAATCTAGAATGCTTCCGTTTAACCACAAGCAACCCTGTTATGTAAATTCCCCTCCACTTTTAACCGCAGGGAATGAACCCTGATAGTGGGTAAACGGACACACACACTCACACACACCTAGACACACAAAGACACACTCACACACATATACACTCTAACACTCAGACACGCACCTGCACGCTCTGTGACACATCCTTCAACACACACGCACACCTAACCAGCACACACACACACACACCACGCACATACTGAGATGCCCATATGCACACGCACACTTACATACAGACACACACACACCCTGGGTAGTGATTCACACAGGTTTCTGGCGAATACTCCATCCTGTTCCGATGGAAAGCAAAGCCAGTCAACGCTACATAACCAGCTAACATACACATACACACACGTGTCTGTATATGTGCCAAATGGATCAGAGCCCTGATTGGCTGGATTCGTCCATTCCTGATTGGCCGGCTTCATCCATTCGTGGGGGCTGGCATTGTGACATCACTGCCGCCGTGGCCAGTGATAAGCTTCGCCCTGCCCTCACGCTGCGATTGGTTAGGCCAGCTCGAAGCCCCGATTGGTTGGCTCGGTTCACACGGGGCGGGGCTTGCGTCGTGGCCACCGCCCCCTGGCACCGCTCCCGCGCTGTGATTGGTTCACATTAGCGGGGGGGGGGGGGGGGAATGGGGGGATCTGAGCTGCAGCCAATCCGCGAGCCGGGAGATTTCACCCGTCGGTTCGTCACGCGGCCCCGGGTGAAATCGGGGGGCGGGTGGGGGGGTGTGGGGGTGGGGGGCGGGTGGGGTGGGGGAATCATCCCGTGAGAAATCCGACAGCAACAAACCACCACCTTCACCACCACCATCACCAACCACCAATAAGGGGCCGTCCATAAATGACGTCACGCGATTTTGAACGATTTTTGACCCCCCGCCCCATTCGTCATACGGCGTCACAAAAAGTCAGACCCCCCCCCCTCAAATATGACGTCACAAAGCTCTGCCCCCCCCCCCCACCCAAAATGCTTCAAATCGCTTTAAACTATTGTCATTGTATTTCGATTTAAAGCTTTCGTGACTGCAGGGATTCATCTTCTTGGTTCTTTCGGTAAAGTCACGTAGAAGGGAAGTAATAAAATAATAAAAATAAAACAAAATAAAATACAATTCTCACGACGTTTCGGCTACAACGCAAGCAGCCGTTGTAGCCGAAACGTCGTGAGAATTATTTGATTTTATGTTTTATTTTTATTATTTTATTACTTCCCTTCTACGTGACTTTATTGTCATTGTAGTGCGTATTTAATATGTCGCTGCACTCTGATGTCGTAGGATTAAACATTTATTAAAAAGTCTATTTAATTAATTAGTAGGTGTTGTCAATGTTCATTTAAAGTTGCGCATTTTTACGTGACGTCACATTTCTCAAACCCCGTCACAAGTCTGACACTCCCCCCCCCTAGGTGCGTGACGTCATTTATGGACTGCCCCTAACCACCACCCAACATTGCTTGACATGACTTCTTCTTTGGAGGCGGGGGGGGGGGGTCGATGGGGTGATAAGGACGATGGCATCTTGAAGATAATTATTAGCGGGGGGGGGGGGGGGGGGCATGTGATTAATTAATATCCATCTCCCTGTGGCCGATGAGTCACACACATGGTGGGTCAGAGGTCACGGTTGTGGTGAGGGTACGTGGGTGGGTGGATGAGTGGTTGGGTGGGTGGTTCTGTGGGTGGATGAGTGGGTGGATGGTTGGGTTGGTGGGTGGCTGAGTGGGTGGGTGGTTGGGTTGGTGGGTGGCTGAGTGGGTGGGTGGTTGGATTGGTGGGTGGCTGAGTGGGTGGGTGGTTGGGTTGGTGGGTGGCTGAGTGGGTGGGTGGTTGGGTTGGTGGGTGGCTGAGTGGGTGGGTGGTTGGGTTGGTGGGTGGCTGAGTGGGTGGGTGGTTGGGTTGGTGGGTGGCTGAGTGGGTGGGTGGTTGGATTGGTGGGTGGCTGAGTGGGTGGGTGGTTGGGTTGGTGGTGGCCAGTGGCCAGGGTCGTCAAAGGTCGACAAAAACGGTCTGTGGATGGGTGGCGAGGAGGGGAGTGGCGAGGGGGGGAGTCTAGGGGGGGGGTCTAGGGGGGTGTCTAGGGGGGGGGGTCTAGGGGGGGGGGTCTAGGGGGGGTGTCTAGGGGGGGGGTGTCTAGGGGGGGGGGTCTAGGGGGGGGGGGTCTAGGCGTAGGCGTTGAGTCGCTCCTTGGAGCGTGCCGACTCCACGTCCCGCGGCTCCTGCTGCTGCTGCTGCTCGCGGGAGCCCAGCGCCGCCTCGTGGCCCAGGCGGCGCAGGGCGCCTACAGCCGCCCAGTTGGCGGAGAGCGCCAGCAGGTAGTGCACCTGCAGGGGGGCGGGGGGCGGGGGGGAGGGGGGGTTAGGGAGGAGGAGGGGCAAGACGGGGGAGGGGTGGTGAGGAGGAGGGGGGAGGAGGGGGGAGGAGGGGGGGAGGAGGGGGGGGAGGAGAGGAGGGACAGGACGGAGGAGGTGGGTGAGGAGGAGGAGGGGGGAGGAGGGGGGATGGGCGGGTTAGGGAAGAGGTGGGTGAGGAGGAGGAGGGGGAGGAGGAGGAGGAGGGAGGGGGGAGGAGGAGGGGGAGGAGGAGGGGGGGAGGAGGGGGGGGGAGAAGGGGGGGAGGAGAGGAGGGACAGGACGGAGGAGGTGGGTGAGGAGGAGGAGGGGGTAGGAGGGGGGACGGAGGGGGGAGGAGGGGGGAGGAGGAGGGGGGATGGGCGGGTTAGGGAGGAGGGACAGGACGGGGGAGAAGGGAGGAGGGGAGGAGGTGGGTGAGGAGGAGGGGGAGGAGGAGGAGGAGGGGGGAGGGGGGAGGAGGAGGGGGGAGGAAGAGGGGGGGAGGAGGAGGAGGAGGAGGAGGGAGGGGGGAGGAGGAGGGGGGAGGAGGGGTGTTGAGTGGGTTAGGGAAGACGAGGTGGGTGAGGAGGGGGGGTGAGGGGGGTATCATCATCGGCAGTTGCAACAGCAGTAGCATCGGTGGTGCCAGCATCATCAGCGGCATCGACGACTCTAAGGCGCCAGAGACGAACATGAAGGCAGCAGCAGCAGCAGCCACGCGGTGGTGATGAGCCAACGATTGCCTGAGCTCTGCGGTCCTCTACGTATGCTCAGATGTTACCGGTCAATTGACGATCGCCTTATACCGGAGCGCCCGGGGTCAAACCCACGTGCGCGCGAGGGGGAAACGCTCGCTCCCACACCGCCTCGCAGAGTCATGGGTAGGGAGGGACTTTCACAGCCCATCCGCGCGTGATCCACCTACCCTAGCTGCTGCTGTTACCCCCACGGCAGTCAGCAGCGTGCAGCAGTGTAGCCACCACCCGAGTCTGATCCCTGGGTCAGGGTGCCCGTCTCGTGTGGTGTAAACACATTGTCCTGCGGAGGGAGCTGGTAGGAACGTTGGGTCGCTCGGTCAATGGCCTGCAGGGTCAACGGCGGCGTGGTGTATTCCGCAAATATGCCCGACTGTGAGGGCGGGCACAAGCCGGCGTGAGTATGTTAAACGTTGAGTTTTATAAGGGCACCACGGGGTGACCAGCCCCTCCCCACCCAGCCCCTCCCCACCCAGCCCCTCCCCACCCAGCCCCACCCTCCCTCCCCACCCAGCCCCTCCCCACCCTCCTCTCCCCACCCAGCTCCTCCCTGCACGACGGACACAATAATCCCCTGTGGGCTCGTGTAACCAGGAGGTTCCTACCAGTAAGAGTTACGTAAGGAAGGCACAATCATGCGAATATCGTCTCCAATGGGCATGATCGTGGGGGTTTATTATTGGCCGTGTTCTCCTTGTGATTCATCATGACGATGTTGATACTGCTGCTGATGCTCATGATGATGCTGCTGGCGATGATGCTACTGATGATGATGCTACTACTGGCGATGATGCTGATGATGATGCTGATGATGATGCTGATGATGATGCTGATAATGATGATGATGATGATTATAACGATGCTACTGATGACGATGCTGATCATGATGCTGCTGATGATGCTGATAATGATGCTACTTATGATGATGTGGATACTGCTGCTGATGATGCTACTGATGATGATGTGGATACTGCTGCTGGTGATGCTGGCGATGATGCTACTGATGATGATGCTGAGAAGGATGCTACTAACGATGCGATTGATGATGATGATGATGCTGTTGCTTCTAATGGTGCTGATCATGATGATGATGCTGCTGATGATGCTGCTGCTGATGATGCCGCTGCTGATGATGATGGTGACGCTAACTCTCATGATCTTAACCCTCACCCTCACCAAATGTGCAGTGGGTGCGGGGTGGGAACGTGGAGTGGAGCGTGCTCGAGGTTCGGGCCTCAGTGGGGGGCGAAGGGGGTCAAGGGGGTTAAGGGGGTTAGGATTTGGGGGGCCGTGGGGGGCTGGAGAGGCGGTGGGGGCCGTTACCATGGCGATGACAGTTGCTGCAGCACCGGCACAGGCCACGATGTAGAGACTGTAGGTGAGCTTGAACTGAGAACACACAAAGACAAAGGTCCCCCGTGTAGCCTTAACAGACTTGCAGGGGCAAGTGCTGTTAGCGAGTAGCACCTATGAAGGCCGGCACGGCGCACGAGGGGGTGGGTGGGTGGGTGGCAAGCACCGCGCCCGGCCGCCTTTGTCTCCCCTGTGGCGATGTTTACTACACACCGCTACACCAGGTATTCATTTGAGGCTGAGTCCACCTAGGGGAATCGAAGTCGTGTCGCTGGGTTCAGAGCGCAGCGTGGCGCTAACCGCTGCACCACCGTTTAGCGTGGGGCCCTTGAAAGTACGGGGTCCGTAGCTACTACACGTGTAGTACCACATATGTAGTAGCTACTACATATGTAGTAGCTACTACATATGTAGTAGCTACTACACATGTAGTACCACATATGTAGTAGCTACTACATATGTAGTAGCTACTACATATGTAGTAGCTACTACATGTGTAGTACCACATATGTAGTAGCTACTACACGTGTAGTAGCTACTAGATATGTAGTAGCTACTACATATGTAGTAGCTACTACACATGTAGTACCACATATGTAGTAGCTACTACACGTGTAGTAGCTACTACACGTGTAGTAGCTACGATGTAGTAGCTACTACATATGTAGTAGCTACTACACATGTAGTACCACATATGTAGTAGCTACTACATATGTAGTAGCTACTACACATGTAGTACCACATATGTAGTAGCTACTACACGTGTAGTAGCTACGATGTAGTAGCTACTACACATATGTAGTAGCTACTACACGTGTACTAGCTACTAAATATGTAGCAGCTACTATGTATAGTAGCTCCTACACGTGTAGTGGCTACTACACGTGTAGGAGCTAGTACATAGTAAGCTACTTGTGCAACGACAATAATCGGGCACTGGCTCACAGCCCTTGTCCCAACAGCCGTGTGTGGGCTACACGGGGGAGATTTGTCTTTGTGGGTGTTCACCGTCTGGGAGTTGCAGAGGTTGGCCAGCTGAGCGTCGCACAGCTGCCCTGTGCTCACGTTCCACGGGATGATCCCTGCGCAATCATCATCAGCAACATCATCATCATCAGCAGCAGCATCAGCATCATTAACATCATCAGCAGCAGCATCAGCAGCAGCATCAGCAGCATCATCAGCAGCAGCATCATCGTTATTATCATCACCATCATCATAAAGTCATGTAGAATGGAAATAATAAAATAATAAAAATAACATAATAAAGTAATATAATATTATTATGTTTTATTTTTATTATTTTATTATTTCCCTTCTACGTGACTTTACCGAAAGAAAAAAAATAAAACATAATAAAATAATATATAATATTATATATTATTTTATCATGTTTTATTTCTATTATTTTATTATTTCCCTTCTACGTGGTGACTTCACCGAAAGAACCAAGAAAAAAATTACAATTAAAGCTTCAGTACGCACCGTACTGGCGCATGTCGATGCACACGCGTGTGGCGTTGGAGGAGGAGGTGGATGAAGAGGAGGATGAGGATGAGGAGGAGGGGGCTGGCAGGAAGAGGGGGGGCGCGATGACGTCACAGGAGGCCTGCACACTGAAGGCGACGAACACTGGCAGCGCTGAGAGCACCAGCAGCGCCAGCCACACCACGGCGAGCGCGTACGTCATGCCCAGGAACTGCAACAACAACAACAGTAACAACAACAACAATATGAAATAAATAATATTTAAAAAAACTTTTTTTTGCTAATTGCCGCTCACTCAGAGGAGTTGGAGGCACTGCTGCTGAACCTGGAGCGTGCCACTAAGAGGTGGGGCCTTACCATCAGCCCCACCAAAACTAAGCACGTGCCTGGGTATTTTGTACCATCGGGCACTCCACCCCCACAACTCCCAATCGGTGATGGGCAGTTGTGGAGAGAGTGGAGAGTTTACCATACCTGGGCAGCGCGCTCATGACCGGCTCCGGTTTGACAGCGTAACGCTGTTTGGAAGCTACCTGGTCTGTCGCTCCGCACGAAGCTTCAGGTCTTCTCGGCCACGGTCATTCCCTTCCTTTTCTACGCTTGCGAAACGTGGACCCCCCTAATGGAGCATCTTCGCCGATTGGAAACATTTAGGCTGGCCTGCCTATGATCCATCCTGGGTTTAACCAGGCTGGATTGTGTGAAGAGCTCACAAATCCTTTAAAGATCTGGGCAAAGTCCGATTGGTGAGCTCTTCCGGCAGGCAAGGCTGCGTTGGCTGGGTCATGTAGCCTGCATGCCCAGCCACCCCATGCCTAAACAGCTTTTGTTCGGCCGGATCGAGGGGACTAAATGGGCGCGGCACGGGCTAGAGAATAGATGGAGTGATGTGGTACAGGAGGACGTGGAGCTGAGTGGACTTGCCGATGACTGGTACCAGCGGTGTCAAGATCGGCCTCTGTGGAGGAGGCTCGTGAAGGACGCTACTGGGCAGTTGGAGGCAGTCGCCCTCCAACAACAACGGAGGGCGGAGGAGCGACGCTCACAACAACGAGCGGAGCGCCGGGTGGCTAAAACACAGCAAGTTGACTGGGCGAGTGTGTGACTGGGTGAGTGAGTGGCTGGGTGAGTGAGTGAGTGGCTGGGTGAGTGAGTGAGTGGCTGGGTGAGTGAGTGGCTGGGTGAGCGTGTGACTGGGTGAGTGAGTGGCTGGGTGAGTGTGTGGCTGGGTGAGTGAGTGGCTGAGTAAGTGTGTGACTGGGTGAGTGAGTGGCTGGGTGAGTGAGTGGCTGGGTGAGTGAGTGGCTGGGTGAGTGGGTGGCTGGGTGAGTGAGTGGCTGGGTGAGTGAGTGGCTGTGTGAGTGAGTGCCTGGGTGAGTGTGTGGCTGGGTAAGTGAGTGGCTGTGCGAGTGAGTGCCTGGGTGAGTGAGTGGCTGGGTGAGTGAGTGGCTGGGTGAGTGAGTGCCTGGGTGAGTGTCTGGCTGGGTGAGTGGCTGGGTGAGTGGCTGGGTGAGTGGCTGGGTGAGTGAGTGGCTGGGTGAGTGAGTGGCTGGGTGAGCGTGTGACTGGGTGAGTGAGTGGCTGGGTGAGTGTGTGGCTGGGTGAGTGAGTGGCTGGGTAAGTGTGTGACTGGGTGAGTGAGTGGCTGGGTGAGTGAGTGGCTGGGTGAGTGAGTGGCTGGGTGAGTGGGTGGCTGGGTGAGTGAGTGGCTGGGTGAGTGAGTGGCTGTGTGAGTGAGTGCCTGGGTGAGTGTGTGGCTGGGTGAGTGAGTGGCTGTGCGAGTGAGTGCCTGGGTGAGTGAGTGGCTGGGTGAGTGAGTGGCTGGGTGAGTGAGTGGCTGGGTGAGTGTCTGGCTGGGTGAGTGGCTGGGTGAGTGGCTGGGTGAGTGGCTGGGTGAGTGAGTGGCTGGGTGAGTGGGTGGCTGGGTGGCTGGGTGAGTGAGTGGCTGTGTGAGTGAGTGCCTGGGTGAGTGTGTGGCTGGGTGAGTGAGTGCCTGGGTGAGTGAGTGGCTGGGTGAGTGGCTGGGTGAGTGAGTGGCTGGGTGAGTGTCTGGCTGGGTGAGTGGCTGGGTGAGTGTCTGGCTGGGTGAGTGGCTGGGTGAGTGTCTGGCTGGGTGAGTGGCTGGGTGAGTGAGTGGCTGGGTGAGTGTCTGACTGGCAGTGGGGGGGGGGGGGGGAGTCGTGCGTGCGCCACCGACCCAGGCGCTGACGCAGCGCCCGCACGCGGACGTCTTGAAGTCGCCGCAGGAGTCCCGGATGGAGGCGGTGGTGAAGAACCCCTCGGTGAAGAGCAGCACCCCGTAGAGGAAGAAGGCGGCCGCCACGCCGTAGATCACGAACCTCACCACCTCCACGCTGTGGCGGGAGACGACACGTGGGGCGGGAGACAGTCACGTGGGGCGGGAGACAGTCACGTGGGGCGGGAGACAGTCACGTGGGGTGGGGAGACAGTCACGTGGGGCGGGAGACACGTGGGGCGGGAGACACGTGCGGCAGGAGACACGTGGGAAGACAGTCACGTGGAGCGGGAAGACAGTCACGTGGGGCGGGAGAAAGACACGTGGAGATTCTAGATTTGAAGCTTTCGTGACTGCAAGGATTCATACTCTTAGGTTTTTTTTTTCGGTAAAGTCACGTAGGTAAAAAAATAAAAATCAAATAAAAATAATAATAGAAGTAAAATAATAAAGCACATTTATTTATAATTTTATTTCTATTATTTTTATTATTATTATTTTTATTTTTTACCTACGTGACTTTACCGAAAAAACCTAAGAGTAGACACGTGGAGGCATTACGAGGGATTCGTGAGCGCGGAGAGTCACACGGAGAGGCTGGTGGTGAGTGTCAGGGTGAGCGTTGGGTCATAGTGAGGGTCATGGTGTCAGGGTCAGCGTCTGGGTAAAAGGTCGCAGTGCGGTCAGGGTGAAAGGTCGCGGTGAAGTTAGGGTAAAGCGAAAGGTCGCAGTGAGGTCAGGGTGAAAGGTCGCGATGAGGTCGCGGTGAGGTCAGGGTGAAGCGAAAGGTTGCGGTGCAATCAGGGCGAAAGGTCGCGGTGCGAGGTCACGGGGGGCGCACACGGTGAAGAAGATTAGGTCGGGGTCGTGCGGGAATCCGAAGTCTGCCTGCAGCAGCGCCAGCGTGCCCGACAGCGCCTCGTGGCCCCCGCCGCAGAAGAGCGCCACCCCCGCGTAGCACAGCACCGTGGCCAGCAGCGAGGCGTAGGGAACCCCGCCCAGGCAGCGCACGCAGCAGTCCGCACAGCCTGCGGCGGGGCACGGGGGGGGGGGGGGGGCACGGGGGGGGGCACGGGGGGGGGGGGCACAGGGTGGAGGGGCATAGAAGGGGAGCGTGGTCTTTATGCAAGTTTATGGATCTCTGTGTGAGTCTGTGGGTATTTGAGTGAGTCTATGGGTCTCTGTGTGAGTCTACAGGTCTCAGTGTGAGTCTATGGGTCTCTGTGTGAGTCTATGGGTCTCTGTGTGAGTCTATGGGTCTCTGTGTGAGTCTATGGGTCTCTGTGTGAGTCTATGGGTCTCTGTGTGAGTCTACGGGTCTCTGTGTGAGTCTACGGGTCTCTGTGTGAGTCTATGGGTCTCTGTGTGAGTCTATGGGTCTCTGTGTGAGTCTACAGGTCTCAGTGTGAGTCTATGGGTCTCTGTGTGAGTCTATGGGTCTCTGTGTGAGTCTATGAGTCTCTGTGTGAGTCTGTGGGTCTTTGAGCGAGTCTGTGGGTCTGTGTGAGTCTGTGGGTCTCTGTGTGAGTCTGTGGGTCTCTGTGTGAGTCTATGGGTCTCTGTGTGAGTCTATGAGTCTCTGTGTGAGTCTGTGGGTCTCTGTGTGAGTCTGTGGGTCTCTGTGTGAGTCTATGGGTCTCTGTGTGAGTATATGGATCTCTGTGTGAGTCTATGAGTCTCTGTGTGAGTCTGTGGGTCTTTGAGCGAGTCTGTGGGTCTGTGTGAGTCTGTGGGTCCCTGTGTGAGTCTATGGGTCTCTGTGTGAGTCTATGAGTCTCTGTGTGAGTCTGTGGGTCTTTGAGCGAGTCTGTGGGTCTGTGTGAGTCTGTGGGTCTCTGTGTGAGTCTGTGGGTCTCTGTGTGAGTCTATGGGTCTCTGTGTGAGTATATGGATCTCTGAGTGAGTCTGTGGGTCCCTGTGTGAGTCTATGGGTCTCTGTGTGAGTCTATGAGTCTCTGTGTGAGTGTATGGGTCTCTGTGTGACTTTATGGGTCTCTGTGTGAGTCTGTGGGTCTCCGTGAATTTCAGGAGACAGATCCAATAATCCATGTCTGCAATGCCGTCTCTTGCCCACCATGCTGCTGATGATGCTGCTGATGATGCTGATGGTGATTGTAATGGGAATGCAACTGATGATGCTGATGATGCTGCTTCCGCCGTTGCTGCTGCTGTTGCTGATGCTACTGCTAAGCATGCTGCTGATACCACTGCTGTTGCTGCTGTTTCTGATGTCTCCCTCTCCGCCTTCCCCTCCCCTCCCTCCCCTCCCCTCCCTCGTCCCTCCCCTCCATCCCCTCCCCTCCCTCGTCCCTCCCCTCCATCCCCTCCCTCCCCTCTCTCCCTCCCCTCCCCCCCCCTCCCCTCCCCCTTCTACTCAGTCTTTGTATCTCCACTGCTCTCCCCGTGGCGCTCGAGGCTGCCCCCCCCTCACTCTCCCCCCCTCTCGGTGGGGGTGGAGGGGAGGGGGCGCACCACGTGATTAGAGCCCCCCCCCCTCCACTCCCCCATCAACAGTGGGGGGGGGAGGCAGCTGTGGGTTCATCAACAACACCAACGGCATCATCAGCATCATCATCAGCAGCAGCATCATCATCATCAGCAGCAGCAGCAGTAGCAGCAGCATCAGCAGCATCATGATCAGCAGCATCATTATCATCAGCAGCAGCAATAGGAACAAGAGCTGCATCAGCATTATCAGCAGCAGAAGCATTTTCAGCAGCAGCAATAGCAGCATTAGCTTCATTATCAGCAGCATTATCAGCAGAAGCAGCAGCAGCATCAGCTGCATTATCATTATCAGCAGCATCATCAGCAGCAGCAGAATCAGCATTATCATTTTCAGCAGCAGAATCATCAGCTGAAGCATCATCATCAGCAGAAGCATCATCAGCAGAAGCATCATCATCAGCAGAAGCATCATCAGCAACAGCAGCAGCATCAGCAGCAGCAGCTGCATTAACATTTTCAGCAGCACCATCGTAATCATCATCAGATGCACGATCACAGCAGTGACCACAACAACCCCAACCACAATAACCACAACCACGACAACGGCCACAATATAACCACAACCCTAGCCACAACCAGCGTGTGATGGCACAAAACACGCAGGCGGGTGCTTTGTTTTTGTGTGGGAGGGCGTCAATGCTCAGCCCCTCCCCCCATCTCTTATTCACTTAGTTTCTCGCTCCAGGTTCAGCAGCAGAGTCGCAAACTCCTTCTCAGAGTGAGGAGCGACCACCAGGACATCAGCGCGCACGACACGGCCGACCGGGAGGGAGCCATCCCTCGGCACCACCCGCAATGCCAACCGGACGGACATTCTTCCGCTACAGCCATGGAACTCCTTTCGATCCAAGTTGATCAAAGAATTTCGATTTAAAACTTTCGTGACTGCAGGGATTCATCGTCTTGGTTATTTCGGTAAAGTCACGTAGAAAGGAAGTAATAAAATAAAAAATAAAAAACATAATAAAATAATTCTCACGACGTTTCGGCCACAACGCAAGCAGCCGTCCTCAGGTGAAAACCAGGTCTGTCGAGGCGACAGCGTCTGAATGAAACAGCACACGTGCTTGGAGCATGTATATCAGCTGGGTTGGAAGGGGGGGAAAGGGCGCCTTGACAAACGACATGTCCCATAAATATGCTAAAGTCCTCTTGCTATGCAAATTATTTTGTCAAGGCGCCCTTTTTCCCCCTTCCAACCCAGCTTATATATATGCTCCAAGCACGTGTGCTGTTTCATTCAGACGCTGTCGCCTCGACAGACCTGGTTTTCACCTGAGGACGGCTGCTTGCGTTGTGGCCGAAACGTCGTGAGAATTATTTTATTATGTTTTATTTGTATTATGTTATTACTTCCCTTCTACGTGACTTTACCGAAAGAACCAAGGTTGATCAAAGAACTTGTTGAGAAGTGTGGGGGCCAGAGGACATCCCTGTCGCACCCCAGGGCGAAGGGGGAATGGCTCTGTCTCTCAGCCACCATCAGAGCAGAGGGTCAGGGACCCCGAAAGCACGCAGAACAACCCACAGCCCTGACCTATTTGATGGTACTCTTTGGTTCTTTCGGTAAAGTGACGTATAAATATAAAATAATAAATTAAATACTACCATACGACGTTTCGATTGCAACACAAGCAATCATCATCAGGTATAAATGAAATAAAAACACAAATCTAGTATACTTAGAAATGTAATGTAATACAGCAGAGAGTCGGATAACATCACAGTCAACACCCTACCTGGTTGATTACGTTCTTCCTGAGAATGCTAAATTTGAGAGAGAAATAAAACACAGAACCAGAGACATATAGACAGACATATAAGTAGAGACAGATATCACAGAGATACATAGAGAGAGAGACAAAACATAGGCACATGGTATCATAGGGCCTTGTACCTGCTCAATAAAGCAGAGATGGAGGTCCTTTTGAAATTTTCTAGAGAGTATGGCGTTCGTGTAGGATCGTCCCGGTCTGATATCTTCATTAGGGCTCCGCAAGACTCTTCTGAACGTGCCTGGTAAGGACACGATGTGGAATGATCCTTGCCAGGACCTCCCCCGGCCTCACACCGAGGACGGAGATGCCCCTGTCGTTATTACAATCAGTGCGGTCACCCTTCTCATAAACGGGGACCGCCAGGGCATCCTTCCAACCCTTGCGGAAACCGTCCTGCGGTGCAGACTGTTGTGATGATGTCACGTGGGGCAGCCTGCACACAACACTTCACCTGGGAGAGCACCTCGACCCGAGGCTTTACCTGGTTTCGAGCACCACATCGCCCTGCACACTTCCTCAACAGATGGCACAGCAGCCAGCCACTCACAGGACTGGGTGACTACTTCCTCCAACATTTGAGGCACGGCAGCCACAGCAAGGGTCAACTCCCACCTTGCCCCGTGATAGCGACTGGACCGAGGGGCTTCGCCTCCTCTAAGAGGCTCAAAGAAATGCTCGGTGCACGTGCGGACCTGTTTATGAACGACGGTGATATGTGTGGCGCTGCGAGGTCATTTGTTGATGGAATCAAAGAGTGATTTGTGATCGGGCAATGCCGATGCAGTTTCCATCCCCTTCTCAGCGACCCGCGACCACCACTCGCCCTTTCAGCGCCGCACGGATCTCCGAACCTCCGAGCGAAGGCTCTGGTAAAGCCTCATTCTCGGATGTTGGGATGCTGGAGACGGTGGGAGTGGGCCTGTCACCTTCGATCAGCTCGCCAGCAGCATACGCCTCCATTAGCCAGGGTCTCTGGGGAGGCCTGCACCGTGTACCCTAAAAACCAAACTCAACTCTTTTGTTATATATTTCAATTTTTTTTACCAGGTAAGGCCCACTTAGCTACGTAACTCTTTTGCAGAAGCGACTTGGCCACGAATGATAGCTCAACGAAGTGGCTCATCGTGTGCGAATGTATTGCAGCAGTCAAATACTCAACTCATGTTTCGAAATGTGGAGAGGAGAGAGAGACACGCAAACTCCAAATATACAGCAGGCATCGTCAGGGTCGGGATCGAACCCACGACCTCCTGTAGACCAGGCGAGGTAGTTAACATCTCACCACGGGGAGAGAGAGAGAGACACGCAAACTCCAAATATACAGCAGGCGTCAGGGTCGGGATCGGACCCACGACCTCCTGTAGACCAGGCGAGGTAGTCAACATCTCACCACGGAGAGAGAGAGACACGCAAACTCCAAATATACAGCAGCAGGCGTCAGGGTCAGGATCGAACCCACGACCTCCTGCAGACCAGGCGAGGTAGTTACAGTCCTGGACCTCACCCATGCCCCCTCTGCACCAGGAGACCAGGCTATTGTGGGCTTGAATGGGATCCTATGTGGATGCCCGCCACCACAGTGGACGAAAGACAAAGATCCCCCGTATAGCCTTAACAGACTGTAGGGGCAAGTGCTGTTGCCCAGTACCTTTGAAGGCTTGCACGGCAAATGAGAAGATGGGTGGCCAGCACCGCGCCCGGCCGCCTTTGTCTCCCCAGTGGCGATGTTTACACGTCGCACAAGGTACTCATTTGAGGCTGAGTCGACCTACGGGAGGCCCAGTAGCGATTCAAATAATCGTCACTGGTGTTGGCCGCGAGCGGGAATCGGTGCCGATGGGTTCGTAGCGCTCGCTACAACACTACCGCTCCCCACTCACTCTCACTTATAGACAACAAACATACACACACTGAACACACACAAAAAAAATAAAAAAAACAAAGGTCCCCCGAATAGCCTTAACAAGTGCTGTTAGCGAGCACCTGTGAAGGCCGAAACGGCACACGAGGGGGTGGGTGGCCAGCACCACGCCCGGCCGCCTTTGTCTCCCCAGTGACGATGTTTACTCTCACACCACACCAGGTACTCATTTGAGTCTGAGTCGACCTAGGGGAGGCCCAGGACCGGTTCAGATAATCGTCACCGGTGTTGGCCGTGAGCGGGAATCGAACTCGGGTCGCCAGGTTCGTAGCGCAGCGTAGCGCTGACCACTACACCACCGCTCCACCCTCTTTGAACACACAAAGATCCCCCGTGTAGCCTTAACAGACTGTAGGGGCAAGTGCTGTTAGCGAGCACCTGTGAAAGCTGGAACGGTACACGAGGGGGTGGGTGGCCAGCGCCACGCCCGACCGCCTTTGTCTCCCTAGCGGCGATGTTTACACATCGCACCAGGTACTCATTTGAGGCTGAGTCGACCTAGGGGAGGCCCAGGACCGGTTCAAATAATCGTCACTGGTGTTTGCCGTGAGCGGGAATCGAACCCGGGTCGCCAGGTTCGCAGTGCAGCGCGCTAACCGCTACACTACCGCTCCCCACCACCACTCTGACACACACACACAATCTGACACACACACTCCATCTCGAGCCCTGATCGTTGCCTGGCAACGCGAGGGCTGCCGCAGGTTTCTACCTGCCCCCGTTTTGAGGCGAGGGCGGGGAGGGGGGACCAGGTTGCCGTGGCAACGGTAGTGCATCGCCCTGGCAACCGTTGCTAGGGAGATGGGTGGTGTGGCGGTGACGGTGGCACCCCCGGGGGGTGAAGGGTGGGGCTATGGGATTTTGGCTTCAGAGTTATGGGTTAGAGTTAGGGGTTAGGGTTTGTTAGAGATTGGGATTATGGTTATTTCTATTAAGGATTCCAATTAGATCAGGGATAGAATTAGATTTAGGAGAAGAGTTACGGGTTCGAGTTAGGGGTACATGGTAGGGGTTTGGTTAGAATGAGGGGTATGGTTAGGGTCAGGTTTAGAGTTATATTTTTGGGGTCAGCGTTTGAGGTTAGAGTTGGGGATGCTGTTAAAGATCGGGTTAGAATTAGGGGTACGGATACGACACTCTTTGATTCTTTCGGTAAAGTCGCGTAGGTGAAAATAAAAATAACATAAAAATGAAAGTAACTAGATAAAAATATCTTCTTGGTTCTTTCGGTAAAGTCACGTAGACAGACCTGTTCTCCACTTGAGGACGGCTGCTTGCGTTGTGGCCGAAACGTCGTGAGAATTATTTTATAATGTTTTATTTGTATTATTTTATTATTTCCATTCGACGTGACTTTACCGAAAGAACCAAGAAAATGAATCCCTGCAGTCACGAAAGCTTTAAATCGAAATTTAGATAAAGAATAATAATAAATAAAAATTAAAATAACTAAATTAATCTTCTTGGTTCTTTCGGTAAAGTCACGTAGAAGGGAAGTAATAAAATAATAAAAATAAAACATAATAAAACAATTCTCAGGACGTTTCGGCCACAACGCAAGCAGCCGTCCTCAGGCGGCTGCTTGCGTTGTGGCTGATGAATCCCTGCAGTCACGAAAGCTTTAAAACTAAATTAAATCAAGAAAATATGTTTTGCTGTGGCTGTCCTACCTGATGACGGAGACTTGTGTTGCTTCCGAAATGCCGAGATTTTATTTAGTTAATTTAATTTAATTTTTATTTTATTGTTATTTTTATTTTCTACCTACGTGACTTTACCGAAAGAACCAAAGAGTATGGATCCTTGCAGTCACAAAAACTTCAATTCCAGTACGGAAACGAGTTTGAGTTTCGTGCGATAATCGTGGTTTATGGACTCGGGGTTCGATCCAGGTCAGAGGTGAGAGTTCAGGTGAAGAGCGAGGGCTGGGGATGGCGTCAGCGTTGTACGTGCTGCCTATCGGCGGAGGATTACATGGTGAGGGTCAGTTCGAGTCAGGGTTACGGTCAAGGTCAGCAGGGTTAAGGGTCAGGGGCTGTGTAGTGAGGGCAGTGCAGAGCCCCCCCCCCCTAACCCCCCCCCCTAACTCCCCCCCCCCCTCCCACCAGCTCACGTGCTGAGCGAGCCACCTTTGAAACAACTTCAAGAGGCAGAGCCCACGTTGTGGTCACGAAATATATTATTAGAGAGTGCACGTACGTGTGTCTGTGTGTGTGTCTGTGTGTGTGTGTCTGTTTGTGTGTCTGTGTGTGTGTCTGTGTGTGTGTGTCTCTGTGTGTGTCTGTCTGTGTGTGTCTGTGTGTGTGTCTGTGTGTGTGTCTGTGTGTGTTTGTGTGTGTGTCTGTGTGTGTGTCTGTGTGTGTGTCTGTGTGTGTGTGTCTGTTTGTGTGTCTGTGTGTGTGTCTGTGTGTGTGTGTCTCTGTGTGTGTGTGTATGTGTTTGTGTCTGTGTGTGTCTGGGGTGTGTCTGTGTGTGTGTCTGTGTGTGTGTGTTTGTGTCTGTGTGTGTGTTTGTGTCTGTGTGTGTGTGTCTGTGTGTGTGTTTGTGTGTGTGTGTCTGTGTGTGTGTTTGTGTGTGTCTGTGTGTGTGTCTGTGTGTGTGTCTGTGTGTGTCTGTGTGTGTGTCTGTGTGTGTGTCTGTGTGTGTTTGTGTGTGTGTCTGTGTGTGTGTTTGTGTGTGTGTCTGTGTGTGTGTGTTTGTGTGTGTGTCTGTGTGTGTGTCTGTGTGTCTGTGTGTGTGTTTGTGTGTGTCTGTGTGTGTGTCTGTGTGTGTTTGTGTGTGTGTCTGTGTGTGTGTTTGTGTGTGTGTCTGTGTGTGTTTGTGTGTGCGTTTGTGTGTGTGTTTGTGTGTCTGTGTGTGTGTCTGTGTGTGTGTCTGTCTGTGTGTGTGTCTGTTTGTGTGTCTGTGTGTGTGTTTGTGTGTCTGTGTGTGTGTCTGTGTGTGTGTCTGTGTGTGTATGTGTTTGTGTGTGTGTCTGTGTGTGTGTTTGTGTGTGTCTGTGTGTGTGTTCACATAGCCTGGCACAAGCGTCGTGGTGACATCACCGCCACTTAGTGGCGAATGGCGGTTGTTGTGGGGAGCGGTGGTGCAGTGGTTAGCGCTACGCTGCGCCGCTACGAACCTGGCCACCCGGGTTCGATTTCCGCTCACGGCCAAAACCACCAGTGACGATTATCTGAACCGGTACTGGGCCTCCCCTAGGTAGACTCAGCCTCGAATGAGTACCTGGTGCGGTGTGCAGTAAACATCGCCACTGGGGAGACAAAGGCGGCCGGGCGTGGTGCTGGCCACCCACCCCCTCGTGTGCCGTGCCGGCCTTCATAGGTGCTCGCTAACAGCACTTGCTCCAATAGTCTGCTAAGGCTACACGGGGGATCTTTGTCTTGTGTATGAGTGGTTTACTCGCTTGCAAGAGCACTCGCCCCCAACTCGCTGTGCAAGCTACGTAGGGAGAACTTTGTGTCAATCATCAACACCACCACCATCATCATCAACCCTATCATCACTACTATCTTGTTTACCATCATCACTATCATCAACCATCATCACCATCAGCACCGTGATCACCATCACCGTGATGACCATCAGAGACAAAGATCCCCCGTATAGCCTGTAACAGACTGTTGGGGCAAGTGCAGTTAGCAACGCGCCCGACCGCCTTTGTCTTCCCAGTGGCGATGTTTACTACACACCGCACCGGGTACTAATTTGAGGCTGAGTCGACCTAGGGGAGGCCCAGTACCGGTTCAGATAATCGTCACCGGTGTTGGCGATCTCGGGTCGTCTGGTTCGTAGCGCTAACCACTACACCACCGCTCCCCACACCATCACCACCCTCACCACCACCAAAGTCAAAGATCCCCCGTGTAGCCTTAACCGACAGTTGGGGCAAGTGCAGTTAGCGAGTAGCACCGATAAAGGCCGACACGAAAGCACGCGAGTGGGTGGGTTGGTCAGCAACGCGCCCGACCGCCTTTGTCTCCCTAGTGGCGATGTTTTACGCACCACCACCATCACCACCACCACCACCATCACAACCACCATCACCACCACCACCACAAATCACCATCGCGTCGGCACGTCACCTGCCTGGATATTGTGTCACGTGTTACGTAACCCGTGACCCGCCGCTGATGTGGGACGGTCACTCGGACACGCACACACATCCCACTTGGTCCTCTCGCTCACGGTGATGATGCTGATGATGATGTTGATGATGATGATGCTGATGATGATGGTGTAGATGATTGATGGGCCTGTTGCTGATGATGGTTTTACTACTGCTGATTGAATAATGCTGATGATGTGAATGTTGCTGATGATGCTGCTGATGCGAATGTTGCTGCTGATGATGATGTTGTTGCTGCTGATGCTGCTGCTGATGCGAATGTTGCTGCAGAGTGCCTACCTCGCTTCTGTCCACATTTCTCTTCATTCTCATCCATGCCTCCCCACCTACGATCCGGTCCTGGGTTTAGAAATCAGTCCGATCTTCGTTCTATCTCAGTTCGATCCTGGTTCTATCTCAGTTCGATCCTGGTTCTATCTCAGTTCGATCCTGGTTTTATCTCAATCCGATCTTCGTTCTATCTCAGTTCGATCCTGGTTCTATCTCAGTTCGATCCTGGTTCTATCTCAGTTCGATCCTGGTTTTATCTCAATCCGATCTTGGTTCTATCTCAACTCCGATCCGAATTCTATCTCAATCTGATCTTGGTTCTATCTCAATCCGATCCTGGTTCTACCTCAATCCGATCCTGGTTCTATCTCAATCCGATCCTCGTTCTATCTCAATCCGATCCTGGTTCTACCTCAATCCGATCCTGGTTCTATCTCAATCCGATCCTCGTTCTATCTCAATCCAATCCTGGTTCTACCTCAATCCGATCCTGGTTCTACCTCAATCCGATCCTGATTCTACCTCAATCCGATCCTGGTTCTACCTCAATCCGATCCTGGTTCTATCTCAATCCGATCCTGGTTCTATCTCAATCCGATCCTGGTTCTACCTCAATCCGATCCTGGTTCTATCTCAGTTCGATCCTGGTTCTATCTCAATCCGATCCTGGTTCTACCTCAATCCGATCCTGGTTCTATCTCAATCCGATCCTGGTTCTACCTCAGTCCGATCCTGGTTCTATCTCAATCCGATCCTGGTTCTATCTCAATCCGATCCTGGTTCTACCTCAATCCGATCCTGGTTCTATCTCAATCCGATCCTGGTTCTATCTCAGTTCGATCCTGGTTCTACCTCAATCCGATCCTGGTTCTATCTCAATCCGATCCTGGTTCTATCTCAATCCGATCCTAGTTCTACCTCAGTCCGATCCTGGTTCTACCTCAATCCGATCCTGGTTCTATCTCAATCCGATCCTGGTTCTATCTCAATCCGATCCTGGTTCTATCTCAATCCGATCCTGGTTCTATCTCAGTCCGATCCTGGTTCTATCTCAATCCGATCCTGGTTCTATCTCAATCCGATCCTGGTTCTACCTCAATCCGATCCTGGTTCTATCTCAATCCGATCCTGGTTCTATCTCAATCCGATCCTGGTTCTACCTCAATCCGATCCTGGTTCTATCTCAATCCGATCCTGGTTCTACCTCAATCCGATCCTGGTTCTATCTCAATCCGATCCTGGTTCTACCTCAATCCTATCCTGGTTCTACCTCAATCCGATCCTGGTTCTACCTCAATCCGATCCTGGTTCTACCTCAATCCTATCCTGGTTCTATCTCAATCCGATCCTGGTTCTACCTCAATCCGATCCTGGTTCTATCTCAGTTCGATCCTGGTTCTACCTCAATCCGCTCCTGGTTCTACCTCAATCCGATCCTAGTTCTATCTCAGTTCGATCCCAGATTCACATCCTCCTCAATCCGCGTCGCGTGCAGAGTGAGCGCCGCGCGCTTGGCTCGCGGAGCAGCAGAGAGGGGGGAGGGGGGAGGGGGGGCGAGGGGCGGGGCGAGGGGGGGTGGAGGAGGGGGTGGAGAGGGGGGGGCGAGTGATGAGGGGAGACCCCCCCCCAGCCCCCCGCCCCCCCCACACAACCCCCCCCGCCCCCCACCTTCATCCTCTCAGATGTATAATGAAACACTGACATAGCGAGAGACACACACAACAAAGATAAAGACCCCCCGTGTAGCCTTAACAGACTGTTGGGGCAAGTGCTGTTAGCGAGCAGCACCTGTGAAGGCCGGCACGGCACACGAGGGGGGGAGGTGGCCAGCACCACGCCCGGACGCCTTTGTCTTCCCCCAGTGGCGATGTTTACTACACACCGCACAAGGTTACTCATTTAAGGCTGAGTCGACCTAGGGGAGGCCCGGGACCGGTTCAGATAATCGCCACGCTGGGTGTTGTTGGTGGCCGTGAGCGGGAATCGCCGTCGGGGTTCTGCTGCAGCGCGCTAACCACTGCGCCACCGCTCCGCCCTGCCACCACTCACGATGTGGAAATGTGACCTGGTCACGCATCGATCAAGCAGCAGCAGCAGCCTCCTTTTAACAAGTCTTGAGACTCGATGTCTGTGCGCCACGGTGGCTCGGAGATGTTGACTACCTCGCCTGGTCTACAGGAGGTCGTGTGTTCAATCCCGACCCTGACGCCTGCTGTATATTTGGAGTTTGCGTGTCTCTCTCTCTCCATGGTGATATGTTAACTACCTCGCCTGGTCTACAGGAGGCCGTGGGTTCGATCCCGACCCTGACGATGCCTGCTGCTGTATATTTTGAGTTTGCGTCTCTCTCTCTCCGTGGTGAGATGTTGACTACCTCACCTAGTTAAATTTTGATTTAAAGCTTTCGTGACTGCAGGGATTCATCTTCTTGGTTCTTTCGGTAAAGTCACGTAGAAGGGAAGTAATAAAATAATAAAAATAAAACATAATAAAATTATTCTCACGACGATTCGGCCACAACGCAAGCAGGCGTCATCAGGTGAAAACCAGGTCCGTCGAGGCGACACGTGGCGATGATGATGATCCCACTTTGGTGAGCTGTCATTTGTGATGGCCAGGTGGCTTCAGAAAACAGGCTACGTAGCAGTTGAGTGGGAGGCCTTACCTGCCAAAATAAAAATACAAAGTTTGTTTTACACAAACACGAGTGTGGAACTCAATGGAGCGGTGGCGCAGTGGTTAGCGCACCGCGCCACGAACCCAGTGGCCTGAGTTCGATTCCGGGCCACGGCCGACGACATCAGTGATAACCCCAGCGGTCCCGAGTGACCACCCCGAGCCACTACGCGGACGCTGGGTCTCTGTGTGAGTCTACAGGTCTCTGTGCGAGTCTATGGGTCTATGTGTGAGTCTATGGGTCTCTGTGTGAGTCTACAGGTCTCTGTGTGAGTCTATGGGTCTATGTCAGGGAATACGGGTCTCTGTGTGAGTCTATAGGTCTCTGTGTGAGTCTGTGGGTCTCTGTGTGAGTCTATGGGTCTCTGTGTGAGTCTATGGGTCTCTGTGTGAGTCTATGTGTCTCTGTGTGAGTTTGTGGGTATCTGTGTGAGTCTATGGGTCTCTGTGTGAGTCTATGGGTCTCTGTCAGGGAATACGGGTCTATGTGTGAGTCTATGGGTCTCTGTGTGAGTCTATGGGTCTCTGTGTGAGTCTACAGGTCTCTGTGTGAGTCTATGGGTCTCCGTGTGAGTCTATGGGTCTCTGTGTGAGTCTATGGGTCTCTGTGTGTCTACACGTCTCTGTGCAAGTCTGTGGTCGATCATCCATCCAATCTTTGGTGCAATTGCGTGATTTGTGAATTGCTATGGGATGGGGGGTGAAGGGGGGGTGGGGGAGGGGTGGAGGGGGTTGGAGGGGGGGTGGAGGGGGGGTCGTTGTGGGGGGGGGGGGGAGCGTGGGAATCTGTAGAAATCTGCCACCAGGCCACGTGACCGAGCCGGTCTGCAGACGAGAATTCACAAACTACGCTTGGCGGAACGCAGACAATGGTCGACTGAAGGGGGTGGTGGGTGGGTGGGTGGGGGGCTGTGTGGGGGGAGGGGCCGGGGGGAGGGGTGGGGGTCAACGGGGGGTGTGGGGGGGTCTTGTCTTCCAAAGACACTAAGCTCTTAGTGTGTCAACAAAGCCTTATTTACCTGCTTACAATCGTAGGTGGTGAACGGGTCAGCTAACCTGGCCGCATCATTCGCAACCACAATGCTCGCCACCGTGCAATGGGGTGGCCGCGTGATTGAATGAGTAAGTGAATGAATGAATTATTAATGAAGGATTTTTTTTGTATAATTCCCCGTTTAACCCTTCGCTCAGACAACAATTCCCAGCCGCTGTGAATGAATGAATGGGGCGAGTGGGCGAATGAAATTTTGCAGATCGCGCCGGGGAGAATGGCACCGAGTCTCGGACGCACCACGCAAGGAACGAAACGCACGAGCGAGGAGTTGGTGGTGCACGGAGGGATCGAGAGGGGGTGGGAATGAATGAATGAACGAATGAGAGAGAGAACGAATGAACGGAGCGGTGATGAACGAACTGAATGCGCGTCTATTAACATTTGAAGATTTGTATTAATTTTATTTTATATATTTTAAAATAAATGTATTATCATTTTGAGAAGGGAATGGAAAGCAGACCCAGGGTTTGGTGAAATTCACAGATTCTCGATTCAGGTGGGGGGGGGGGGATGCAGGGGGGGGGGGGTAGTGAGGGGGGGAGGGGTAGGGAGGGGGGTCAGGGGGGAGTGGTAGTGAAGGGGGGGGGAGTCAGGGGGGAGAGGTAGTGAAGGGGGTCAGGGGGGTGGGTTAGTGAAGAGGGGGGTCAGGGGGAGGGTTAGTGAAGGGGGGGGAGTCAGGGGGGAGGGGTAGTGAAGGGGGGGGGGGAATCGGGGGGGGAGGTGAGTAGTGGGGGGGGGGTGAAGCTGAAGGCAACGACGTCATCTGCTCTGAGCTCCGAAATCTTGCAAACACACACGCGCACGTGCACGCGTGTAACATGCGTGTAGCATGCGTATGCACAAGTATCCATATGCACGCATATACATGCATCCGTGCATCCGATCGCGTGTCGTATATGTGCACGCAATAATGTTTGCGTGTTCCAAATATCCAAATATATATCGGCAAACACACGTACTGTGCTGTAGATAGGGGTTCCATGCGTGGGGAGCGGTGGTGCAGCGGTTAGCGCGCTGCGGTGTGAATCGACCATAAGGCCGAGTTCGATTCCCGCTCACGACCACCCACCAACACCAAGTGGCGATTATCTGAACCGGCCCTGGGCCTCCCTTAGGTCGACTCAGCCTCAAATGTGTACCCGGTGCGGTGTGTAGTAAACATCGCCACTGGGGAGACAAAGGCGGTCGGGCGTGGTGATGGTCACCCCCACCCCCCTCGTGGAACTTCATAGGCGCTAGTCGCTAACAGCACTTGCCCGAAAAGTATGCGGAGGCTATACGGGGGACCTTTGTCTTTATCGTCTTCATACGTCGCTTGCGTCCATACAAAGACATGCGCACGTGACCGCGCGCGAGCCGACAGCGTTACCCTACGATCAGCTACAACATCATCATCATCGTCATCATCTCCGTGCCTTGGTCATCATCACCATCGTCATTTGATCGTCGCTTTCGCGACCGATATCAACCATGATAGAGGATTTTGGGGTGTTAGATCGTGTAAATATATAAATGTTGTGTCGTTAAACCCGCCACCACCCGACACAGCCAATTAGTAAGGGTTCGTGTCACGTCAACAGAACGTGGACAATTCGTGACTAGTACAGCACTAGTGTGTAGTGTAGTGTATAGTGTAGTGTATAGTAATGTATAGTAGTGTGTAGTGTAGTGTATAGTGTAGTGTATAGTGTAGTGTATAGTGTAGTGTGTATAGTGTAGTGTATAGTGTAGTGTATAGTTTGGTGTATAGTGTAGTGTATAGTATAGTGTATAGTAGTGTATAGTGTAGTGTATAGTGTAGTGTAGTGTGTAGTAGTGTATAGTGTAGTGTATAGTAGTGTATAGTGTAGTGGTGAGTGTGTTGGTGAGTGTGTTGGTGAGCGTGTTGGTGTGTTGGTGAGTGTGTTGGTGAGTGTGTTGGTGTGTTTGTGAGTGTGTTGGTGTGTTGGTGAGCGTGTTGGTGAGCGTTTTGGTGAGTGTGTTGGTGAGTGTGTTGGTGTGTTGGTGAGCGTGTTGGTGAGCGTGTTGGTGAGCGTTTTGGTGAGTGTGTTGGTGAGTGTGTTGGTGAGCGTTTTGGTGAGTGTGTTGGTGAGCGTGTTGGTGAGTGTGTTGGTGTGTGTGTTGGTGAGTGTGTTGGTGTGTTGGTGAGCGTGTTGGTGAGCGTGTTGGTGAGCGTTTTGGTGAGTGTGTTGGTGAGTATGTTGGTGTGTTGGTGAGTGTGTTGGTGAGTGTGTTGGTGAGTGTGTTGGTGTATTGGTGAGTGTGTTGGTGAGTGTGTTGGTGAGTGTGTTGGTGAGCGTTTTGGTGAGTGTGTTGGTGAGTATGTTAGTGTGTTGGTGAGTGTGTTGGTGAGTGTGTTGGTGTGTTGGTGAGTGTGTTGGTGAGTGTGTTGGTGTGTTGGTGAGTGTGTTGGTGAGTGTGTTGGTGAGTATGTTAGTGTGTTGGTGAGTGTGTTGGTGAGTGTGTTGGTGAGTGTGTTGGTGTGTTGGTGAGTGTGTTGGTGAGTGTGTTGGTGTGTTGGTGAGTGTGTTGGTGAGTATGTTGGTGTGTTGGTGAGTGTGTTGGTGAGTGTGTTGGTGTGTTGGTGAGTGTGTTGGTCAGCTTGTTGGTGAGCGTGTTGGTGAGTGTGTTGGTGAGTGTGTTGGTGAGTGTGTTGGTGAGTGTGTTAGTGTGTTGGTGAGTGTGTTGGTGAGTGTGTTGGTGAGTGTGTTTGTGAGTGTGTTGGTGTGTTGGTGAGTGTGTTGGTGAG